GGGGGGTGTGGGGTGATCTTTGTATGATCAATTCACAATAAGTTCAGGGGGGTGTGGGTGATCTTTTTATAAGGAGAATCAGTCTTTATGTACCTCCGGGGACTAAGTGGCACAGCTGTCTAAAGCAACACAACTGCTTGTGACCATGACCGTCTAGTGTATATATTAGTGTTGGGCCCTGTAGGGCTGCCAAAAATACCATTTTTATGCCCTTCTCGTGCTTATGGGTTATGGTGCATGCACAACTTTGATGTGCCTGGGCATATATATATATATAGCTGCCATGACCTGAAATTTCCAGCTGTAAGTCACTAATCACAGAGGGTTGCCATAGGATTTGCTACAGATGTAGGCAAAAAATGAAATTCTGAGGGAAGGAGAATCTTGATTGTGCAAATATGAGGCCAGTATTTACAGAGACAAGGATTTACAGGTAGCTCAGAAAGTACAGGAACAATTGGAAAGTCCGTACGGAACCTGTATCGCAAAATGGACTGGCACCTGTGATAGCCTAGGCACCACATTGCACAAAACATGTCCAGAATGCCCAGACAGCACGAAACACTTGGCACCAAGTCTGCCCACACCTCACAGCCATGTACACAACGGACCTTCTGTATGTTGTGGTGGTGGACAGGGCTCTAGGCATCTTGTGAGGTTCCAAGTGCATTGCAGCAGAACCGTAGAGCTACAAAAACGCAAAAATGGGGGTGCATGACATACTGACCTAGTCAGATGTTTATTATCTCTCTTTCTGGCTTCCACTCTTTGCCTACATCCTAGGTGTGCCCCCCATTGCGCCTGAAACTTTCTGGTACCTGCTTAGGACCTGAGGTATCTCACAACACGCAATTGGTCCGGGTTCCAGTCCTGAATAGGCTTGCAAAAGCACCCGAACTGGTCTCCTGTCAATAGCCTGGCTGCTAGGCTAGTTTGGGTCCGGAATTCTGCTTAGTAAAGTTACTTGCCAGATAACAAATGGCTTTATATGCCGCTTTGCTCTCTACAATCCTAGTTCCAAGCCTGTCTCTGGTCCTGAACCAGGAGACCAATTCAGGTCATATTCCTAGCCTATTCTGGACCAGAGAAACTTGAGCTCTGAAGGGGTAAGAGAAAGTGGAATTTCCCGGAGCTTGGGGCCCGCATTACGCGTATATACAGGAGGGGCCGGAGCCATACGGAAGGGATAGAAGATGAAAGGTGCACCCCTCCGCCCCTGTCCGCTGTCCGCATGGTTGCGCGTTGCGCATGTACGATGCTCCGTGCCGATACTTATTCTGTCTAGTGTTATTGTTCTACTCGTACTCACGGTCTTCTCAGCAGCGGCGACATAATGCGACGGAGTACTACGACACGGCTGACCCGCTCATTGACGACTCGGACCTCGCGCACTGGACGAACGCACCTTGCCCAGACCGGGCAGATGCGGGGGAAGAGTCTGCGTGCAAGCGGGGGCGCGTGCGCGGCGTGTGCGCGCGTCGGAGGCGGCGGCGAGGCGGAGAGGAGAGGCGGGTGGGGAGGGGAGAGAGGGAGAGGTGCGCGGCGGGTGTGCGGATGCGGGTGCGGGTGCGGGCAGCCGGCGGGCGTTGCTAGCGTACCACTGATAATTTTTGAGAGTGGAGGGGATGCACACTTCTCTCTCCGAGGAGGGTGCGTGTATCCCCCTCGGCGCGCGGTGGGGACGAGGGCGCACACACGGAGATCGGACCGCGTAGCACTAGTACCGCCTGTATCTACGATATCACCGTTAATTCATCAACGGCTCGTTTTCAGCCCATCCGCCCTCTGCGCCGTTCTGTCTGTGCCCGCGTGCGACGTCGCAACCCACCGCGCGCGGTCGTATTTCGAGACGAGGGACGGGCGCCTGTTTAGCGGACTTTGTGTATCTCGCGCGCGTCGGCGCTCTGCTCCGACTCGCCAGCGCCCGTGCCCCCCGCTTGAAATACTCACACGGCAAACATCGGACGATATCAGGACCCCTGATACGGGAACCGAACTTGAAGCAAATTATAACTGGCCTTAAGATTTCTGACTCGCTATCAAAGGCCTAGTAATTTTGTACGTCCGTTAGATGTCGGGATACCAGACATAATGAACAGTCCTTGAGCACGAAACGGTGAAGGAATTCTAAATGACGCGATCGTACCGGCCCAAGGGGATCGCGTATGACATCTGTAAGGCATTAAAGAAGTCGTATGAATTCTTTGCAACGGCATATAGTACAAATGTTGTGCTACAATGAACGTTGTAATCCCTCGCGCGCGAAACGGCGCCGAAACTTAACGTATCATGAACATGTCGGTAAGTACGATAGCCTTTGTATATACAACGTGGCGGGCAGAGTGAAATGGCATTGTAACGATAAATTCCGAGGCAATCGGAACGGGTCCGGATATTCTATATATCGGGAACAAAGCACAAGGCACGATATGCTTATGACACTTAGAATATCATAAGCGTATCCGGGTGCAAACGGTATTCAAAATATCATAAGGCAAGATATTCTACTGACATGCGCGTGGTATTTAAAATATCAAAGGGTAAGAATCGCGTGGAGGAGCTCCTTGGAGCTCCTTGGCGCACCTCAGAGCTCCTGAGCGCGCCTCGGAGCTGCTCGGAGCTGCTCGGAGCTCCTGAGAGCTCCTGAGCGCACTATAGCGCGCCGCGCCGCTCCCCGACGCACCTCTGCGCGCCGCGAGAGCTTCTCGCGCGCCGCGGCAGCTCCTCAGCGCGTCGCGGGAGCGCATACCCGCGCCAGAGAGCCGGCCGCGCTGCGAAGGGCGCGTCCGCGCTACCGGCGCACCCGAGGAACGTCTCGCGACGCACCTGTGAGCGCATCGGGCTTGCCGGCCTCCTCGCCCGCGTGCGTGCGCGGCGTCGAGATGCTTCGCGCAGGCGTGTGCGGGTGAGGCGGTGAGGCGGGGGGCGAGGGTCCCGAGGCGGAGTCGTTGAGCACTGGCGGGTGGCCGCCGAGCGAGTACGCGCGGGGCGGCCGTGTGCGGGTCCAGAGGCGGGGCGGGGCGCGAAGGCTCCCGAGGCGCAGGCGCTGAGGCGGAGCGGTGGC